GGCCAGAGTGGACCACTGCGAGTTACTTCATTATAGTGATACTTGCTCCATCGGCATCCGGTGAGGCCTAGCAGCGCGTCGAGATCGCGAAGCTACAACAGCCACCGCTTAATGTCCCAAAACACCCCCGGAGCCAGCATAATGCTTCTTAGAATGGTCTTACATAATCGAGAATCTGCCTGCACGCCTGATGCACAAAGTCTGGGAGCGAGATACATCTACAGTCGGTAGATTGATCACTTGAATTACTGAGGAGATGAGAGGACGCGGTCTGAGAATGCCATGAAGAGGTCGTGGCCGACAGACTGCAAGAGGATGGACGTGAAGAGTGGGGGGGACCGTATGTAAAAAGTCTCAAAGACAACACTGAGCGTCGGACCTTCCCAAACCGACAGTAGCGTCCCCCTAACCTACGGTGACGACGTTGCTGCTTCATCCATCTCACCTACTGCTGTCGTTTCAAAACCTAACACAGCTTAGGCTTGGGACGAGCAGAACGGACACAGTTCCCTAGCCGTACCTTGTACCAGTTATTCGACAACAAACGCAGATACTCGATCTAAGCAAGCAGAAGTAGGGCGGGACTACGCTGCGCGCAGATGCCTTCGATGGAGTTTGCTATAGAACCCCACAGCCTGCACGATTGAGTTTGGTTTTCAAGAACATAGGCGCGAAGACAAATCACGCTGGCAGAGTCACCAGTGAATGAGACGTCCTGGCGACTTAACAGGGCACGTCCCCCCACAGAGATGGTCTAGCTACCCTTCATAATTTTGACTGCCAGAAGCATAGGTAGAAAGTGCTGCTAGTTAAAAGGGGCTCATGCAGTGAGGGCGGCAGTACCCTCACCTGACCGAGTGTAGTGTAGCCAGTCTTCCAAAACGGAAACCAAAGTCCGACCGCCTACTTGAACCAGTCGCGACTCAACTACTATCGCGCCACCACCACAACAGTCTAGCGTCCGACATGATTGTATCCTGGCGCCCATTCTGTTCAACTATGCTATTGACTGGATTCTCGGGATGGCCCTACACGAAGGTGACGGGGTTGAGTTTGCACTCGAACACCGACTGAGTGATCTCGACTATGCCGATGATATTGTCTTGCTTGCTTCAAGTTTCGGTCATCTGCAGTCTATGGTGTCACGGATGAACGAGGTCGCTAAACCAGTAGGTTTATCTATAAGCGCTGGGAAGACTAAAATGTTTCCAATGTGCATCCCTGACCAGGAGAAGGCACTCCTCGGGATTGATGACTGTCAACTTGAAGTAGATTGTTTGAAGTACCTGGGGGGCGAGGCCACTCCCGAATAGACAGAGTAAGGATGACATTGTCTCCCCAATAGATGCTACCTGTCGGCTTTTCTGAAGTCTGCGAAAGTGTTTCTAAACTCGACGCGACGCAATGTACCGCAATGTACCGTGCATCCGTCCGGTCTGTCCTTCTCTATGGTTGTGAGTGCTCGGCTGTACGCATGGACGAGCGAAAACAGGAGGTATTTGACCACCACTACTTGGAGACCATCCTTGGAGTGAAGTACACCGACTTGGTCTCAAATGAGACAGTCTGAGCTCGCTGCGACATCGCAAGAATAGCCCAAGGCCTCCATGAAATACGACTGAGGTGGTTTGGGCATGTTCTACGTCGTCCACCTCAGGAGCTGTGTTACTGCCCTCGATCCCGTACCGTGACCCCATTTGGGGCGACGAAGAGGGGGTCGACTCAAAACCTGGCTCGACACAGTTCGTCAAGACACGGTGGTGGTTCTGGGACCTTCGGTATTCGGTCTCCGTCTTTGGCGAAGAGAATGGGCTTAACTGTTCAGATCTGCTGCTGTGGATCGTCAGACGTGAAGAGGTACAGTTCGTGACATCATCGAGGCCGGCTAGATCAGGTATGATCGTAGCCGTACCAACTGCAAGTAAGTACAAGACCTAACCATAGTAGGGACTTATATGTTTTGGTGGTACGCGAGACTAGACAACCCCACTACTTCGTACCTTCGCAAAACTCCCCTCAAGAGTCAGGAAACGGCCACTCTGATCGATCATCGAAAAGCTCAAGGGGGGCATGTCAGAGCAGTGGGAGGTCAACAGGGCGACCGATCCAACGGTCCAGGACAACACCTGGTGAATGTTAACGTGTGTTTTGTAGACTTATGTTCAGTGGGGTCGTTTTCCTCAAAAGAGGCTGACCGACCCAACCTTGTTACATTTGTAGAACTAAGGCACAAACAGCTAAAGCCCTTCAGATCTCCACATAATTCTTACGTTCCTCCCCCGCCCCCCTTACTAACAAGTCTACCTGTGCTTCAGCTGGGCATTCTAGAGTGTCCGCTCTGAGTCTTGGCCACACGGATACCCTAGAATTAAGCTCGAGTAGCAGAAAGATTTGCCACCTAACACAGCCTCATCCATCTATGAACACCGATGGTGCTCGAAGAGGCGATAGGCAAACATAAGCTACCAACGCCTTCGCGTACTTAGAGGCAGTACTTTCGACGGACGGTGGCTTTCAATGGAGGTTGGTTATGCCCGTGTAACAGCAACGCCAACGGACACTTTTGGGTTTCATAAGACAGTCGGTGGTCTCGACGGGCAAGGATATTCTTGCGTCGAACTCAAGAGATTGCTCACCCCACAGTCAGTGTTAGTTAAAAGATGCTTCACCGAGCGATACTTACGGATGCGTAAAGCGGTTAACAACAGGACCTCGTCTTCCTGGACGACCAGTCAGATAAGAACAACAAAACCCAGTTTTGGGGTTGAATACCCAGGCGGTGGCAAAAAGCAAATTTTACTCATTAAAAGGCTTTACTAAGAAGGAAGCAAATGCAAAGGCAGTGGATTTTGTTCCCCAAGTTCGACAGCAGCCAACCAATTTACAAAAAATAAGACGAGAGGTATCACGCCGCACGTCCTGGCCGGAAATTTGAAGCTTGGCCTAAGAACGGAAAAGCGCTAGTTAGCAGATAAGGCAGTTTCAACAGTGTGCCCCACAAGGCCTTCTGTAACGTGATTACACAGTCCTTCCTGAAGTTCGTGTTACAAGAAAGCTTTGAATCGAGGCTTAGGCCCCGGCTCTATGTAGCCGAGCTAGAGCTAGGATGTGAATATCCGGTCTATTTGTTCACTGTGAGGAGCTTAGTACTGGCATGGTGAATTCCCGTAGCAACGAGTTCGCAACTACTTAAGGCGGGGCAACAGGCGACTTAAGGGATATCGCCCAGTGGAAGGGTTTTTGGCCTCATTTGCGGGACACTGAAAACTTTGGATACAACTGGTGTTAGCCTGGTCTGTCTCGGGCCCCATAATGCGACTGACGCATGGACGTGACCCCCAGGGACTGGAGGTTGGTATTTGTCAATATTTTTGTCATACTACTTAAAACCAATACGTTGAACGCGATGGATTCTGGGAGGTGGTGTAAAACTGAAGGATACCATGAATGACTTCCACGAATGTTGATTCCAGGGGGTGAACGTGTCTAAACTTAAATCTCCCTTGTGATGAAGACGATAGTTCTTTCTAGGCGTGGCATTCTATGCATAATTGGGACACGAAAGTAGTAAGCAGACAGCTTGGATGGCGGGAGACTTCAATACTGTCTCCTAGAAATACCAAACCAACACCTAATGCCAGACCAAAAAGAGGGCTTTGACAAAACAGCGTCCAGCCTGGAGAACTACACCAAACATGTAAGCAATATTGCTTAGGCGAAAGGGGTCCCGACTAACGAAATGCAAAACCTACCTAGTGGAAGCCCTGGAGGACCCACAGACACAACAGGCTCAACAATAGGCGAACACCAATGACCCTTTCGACTCTAGCTGGCAAGAGCTACAAGGACCCCACCGGACAGACCAATTCATCATCCATTCGCTGCCGATTCACCAATGATTGGAGACTCGTAACAGGAAGGCCAATATGGTTTCAATGAAAGGTTCCATTGGTCCAGTTGTTCACCACTAACATCCGTCTCACAAGAGAAGGTATAGTACTGGTGACGAACTGTCCAATTCCCTTAAAGCAGCATCGCAAGACTAGTAAAATTCATTGCCGAAGCTTCCGGTGATCGCTAACCGCCTCTCTGACGGCCTATCAACGACCGCACATATGAGTATGGCCCAATGGGCGAGAACTTAACCAAGAATGCACCAATGATAATTTTGACATATACAACAAATCGAAATCGAAAGAATCCTCCATCATTTATTTTCGAAGAGTGACTAAGAGTCATTTGCAGTCACAATCTCTTCGTGCACGGAGGGTCGCTATCACGCGTTTGTTAAAATGAGCTGGATTTCATCTTGTGTGCAAAATTCAACCGGCGGGGAGTATTCTAATCGGAAGTTCAGGAAGCCACCCGAACGAGAGATATGTACGTTTATTTCGTAGATTTATTTCAACTTTCTCATGTCGATTTTGCAGTAAATTAAAATAAACTAGGTCAGGGCCTTCAAATTTTGATTTTATTGTTTTGTTGTCCCTAAGATGGCCGACGTGCTGGGATCTCTTGCGTCATCCAGACGGTCAGAGCGACATTTTGAGCTCAAAATGTGCATTTTTTAATCCAAGAAGTCTGTTAGAGACCCCGTTAAACGAGATATTCTAAACACGATAGCAGAGCTAGCAAAAATGTCTGTTTTTATGGACATTTTCTAGTCAACTTAGGCTATCTAGAAGGGCAGGAATTTTTCCATTCCTATACATGGTGTGTTCCATCTTTATATAGACCCTCGGTCTACACCTGAGGAGTTCTTGCCCTGGTATTTGTAGTTACACATTTTGGCAAGCTAAGGGTGCCACTTACTTCAGATAGTCTCTAAAAACCTTTACCACTATGCTGAGATCCGTTTCATTGCTATAAATTCTAAAAAGTTACCCCATATGGTATGTCATAAGCTTGATTGATCTAACATCGAGCTGGATGAAAAACTGCAGCCCGTTGATTTAAAGCCCATTAGCGGCTTCTTGAAGCCAGCCTTTCCGCTTATATCAGCCTTCAGTACGAGTTGCAGTCCTTTGTTGTTTTTGTTCCTTCGTCTCCTCTAGTTGATCAACTACCACCGTACTGTCATTTTTTAGGGAGAGCTATTTACAGGCCAGCCAAATGGTGCCTACACAGACCTTGCTGCAGCCTCTGCAACAACAAATCGTTGTGGACCCCAACGCGGCACAGCAGTCGACGACGTTTGCTATTCAGGCCAGCGATGGCAGTTTGATTCCCGTGCAGTTAGCCACTTCATCTAGTGGCGGTCCCTTAATTATGCTTATGCCCAGCGCTCAAACCCAGCAGACCATCTACACTTCGCAACCGCTCCCGTCCGCTACAACCACGATCGATGGTACTCTAACGGCCCAAGGTCAGGCAACCATCATTGGATCCACAGTTGAGGATGAGAACCAGCTTCTCCAAGCCCAGCAGTCCCAACAGCAATGTCAAGCGGCTAACCAGGTACAAATTGTGCATCAGCCTACAGCCAACCAAGTCGCACAGACGGTTACTGCGACACAAGTGCTACAACAAACGGCGACGGCGAATAATCAAGCGGCCGCCAATGCTGCAGCCCAAGCTGCAATGAATAGTGCGCTGTCCGGTTCGGTTAGCGTTAGTGCTGAGGAGCCGCTCTATGTTAATGCCAAGCAGTATAACCGGATCCTCAAGAGGCGCCAAGCTCGTGCCAAGTTGGAAGCCCAGGGTAGAATCCCGAAGGAACGGCGGAAGTACCTTCATGAATCCCGACACAAACACGCCATCAATCGTGTTCGGAACGCCGGTGGGAGGTTCTTCTCCCCTTGTAAGGAGAACAATGTGAACCAGGTTGCGTCTCAATACGCTCTTTTCTTTGGCAACTATTCATAGATTGCATGTCAGTTTTGTTTAACGGTGACTTTAGTGATTACGATTCAACAGCATGTAGGGTTTGCATTTCTTGGTTTAGTTTTTTCTTGACGCAAGCCTAGCTTGCAGATTACTCCAATTCTCGCCTACTCTGTGCATCTAGCTTGAATTTTTGCCAAAGAAATAGCATTTGAGCAATAACTTCTCTGTTAACTACTTTGCTTAGTTCCCCTTTTTTTCTATTTTTAGCTTACCAAAGGTCAAACTAACCCGGCGGCGTCGTAGGACACGGTATTCCGTATTTTATGCAGCCCCCCTCCCCCATAATGTACTTTTCATACTGGGTGCTGAAAGCGGTAGTTTGTTTTAAGATTGGGCAAGGATGATTGTGAAACACGGGTACCTGCCGACATTCATATCGTACTATTTGTACTTTGTGTATGTTTACCTTGCCTAGTGGTTGGGCAATCTGCTCATATCCAGCGTCCGGTATTCCCTGAGACTTGTTGACCAAGACTTTTCTTCTGTGTTCTTGCTTCTGGTGTTGTACTTGTGCGTTCCAGGGGCACGGCTTGTGCCCCGAATTTCCCAAGTATCATCGCTTCTGTACATTTTTGATCATATCCCTTTGTCATTGTAAATAATTGAGTAAGCTGAAGACCTGAGAAACCTTTCTCTAGCACCCATTTTATTTTGTTCTTTTAATAATATCGAGAAGTGCTTAAATAAGGCTTGTTACTTCCCACCTAGACAGGGTAGCAGCTCTCTCTCTTTACTATGGGCGGCTAGGACACTCCCACATATCTGACCACTAACATACGTCCGAAACTAGAAAAAGTGGAATCCCAAGAGGCTTTTCCGACCATGAACTAAGGTGTAACGCAAGAGGGATGGCAGAACGCACTCCTGCTCGACACTTGGTGGGATTTCAGGCGGTAGCTGTTTTGGAGAAGGAGACACGATCGCCGGGACAAGAGCTTTATTAGCCTGACGTTTCGGATTCCTACTCGAATCCATCATCAGAGACAAAAGAGCAGAAACGGGTGGTTGTTGCACAAGGGGCTGCGGTATTTATAGGATGCAGTAGCCATGCTACTGGCCCCCAGTCCATCAACAAGTGCAACGATCTTCCCATTCCATACTCCGTACTGAAACTTCGCCTAGGCGGGGTAACAAGCCATGCGGGGAGCGCAGAGGTGAACACTCTTCCCAACACCGGGGTCGATGCGTCAGATGGTCGAGCAATCATCACGCAAACATCCGACGCACGTGATGAAATTGCAGCAATTATCGACTCGAATGTCGGCCATCAAGCAATGATCACACCAAGTGCGACAATCCCGGATGAAGGGGGGAGCCGTGAAAGTTCATAGGTATGCGGTAGCATGGCTACTGCATCCTATAAATACCGCAGCCCCTTGTACAACAACCACCCGTTTCTGCTCTTTTGTCTCTGATGATGGATTCGAGTAGGAATCCGAAGCGTCAGGCTAATAAAGCTCTTGTCCCGGCGATCGTGTCTCCTTCTTCAAGACTGCTTCCTGGGACTCGGCTCTTCGCTTCTATTGGTAGCTGTTTTACATTGCAGCAATACTCCACCTCAGGATTGCCAGAGGATTAAATCTTGGGCCACAGCAAAGTATTAGGTTGAAGATTGAGCCCAGCGATGGTGGGATTCTGACGTGTCTGAAGTGCAGACATTCCGTCGAGCATCCCTTGTCAGCAAGGGACCTGTACTTGTCGGATCTTACGCTTGCCTCGTCAGGGCCGCCTCAGGACGATGGCAGGGAATACCCCTCCCTGCGTCTACCAGGGAATCGGGTCCTGTTTATCAAACAGGATTCCGTCTATTGCGTGGTTGGAAATTGTTAGATCGGACTCCTGTCCAAGTATATACGGGTCATCTGCAGCCTCCAGTTAGGTTGATATCCCCAGTCCTGTTGTCACACAGCCTCAGTATGGCGGTATGGTTTGTGCTTACGTGGCATACGTGCCAGGAGACCTCGTTTGCATGGGGTGGCGTGGCCAGCTTAGCGGTTCATCGGCGTGTATGGGACAAGAACAATCACTTTCGGATGATTAAGCTTGCTATGGAAGGGTGGTTCGCTGGCTCGAGTCCAAGTTTCACCTTAGAAACACGATAGTAGCGCCATCCTTAGAACCTGGGCGAAGTTGGGCATTGTAAGTAGAAACTAGCAAGCCGTCACCACTGCCCGGGGTCAGGAGCTGTCGCATATTTTTGGCCTTGTTTCCGGGACTTTAGTACGAAAGCGGGGTCAGTTCCGGTTTGTCTTCCTTTGGCACCGAAGTGTAGTGTCGCGAATGCTGGGTTCGACAGATTGGTTACTTCCTGCGAAGGACCTGTCTGCCTGTCCGCTGTCCTTTCGACCTTGGAGGTCAGACTATGTGGTTTCATCTGTGTTACACGTCTTTGGGGTGTGAAAATGGCTGGGCCACATGCCAGATCTAAGTCTCTGCCTGATACCACCCAATTCAATACTTAGCAAGTCTGATTACGAAAGCCTCAGAATAGATCATGTCAAAGTGTCAGTTGCATATCTTCTCTCGCGAACTGACCGGAGGCCACTTGCCTAACCGTGTAGACCTATAAGGTCCAACGATTGTTGCTGGTCGGCTCATTTTTACCTGAACTAGGGCCTATTAGTCGATAATGTTTTACCGACTGGATTAGGAGTACTGAAATGATCGTTTCTAGCCTGCTTGTCGTCTTTAATCCCACCTAACCCTACTACCACCTGAGACCACCTCGTGTTTTAAGTCTGAACCAGTTGGTTCCAATCCCTTCCGTCTATAACCGCGCCAGAGGCTAAATCGCTTCTGACCAGTCATGTGGAAATGGAGTTCGCCGGTCTGGTCGGACTTGGGGCGAAAACCGGCGTTGAACTATGTCTTGGAGCCCCAATGACAGGCGACAGAGTTTGGGGCTGCAAAGCAATAGATCCGGTGATCCTTCCGCGGATCTTTACTGAAGTATCGATATCCAAAAAGGACAAATATACCCGGAATGGCAAATCCAACTAGTTAACCAGAAATCCCACTAAAATAAAGACGAGAATTGGTTGTAGGATATACCACACTTAATAGCACAGGTGCTAGCTAAAAGCCGAGACGCCTGTTTTTCCGATATTCTGCCGCTTTATGACACAGAGGTGGGGGTTCGGGCCCTCAGTGGGTCCCCCAACCTTTACCGTGTGCTTTCTGGTGTATACTCCAGTCTTGAGTTTACAACTTAATATTTTTCAGAAATTAATCGCCAAATTGGAGTGAATCAGTCTGTTAGAGACTTATAGGAACAGACTGAAACTTCATATGATAATTGGGCCGAAGTCCACCAGCTGCAGCGGAGTAACCGCGTAGCATTCATATTCAATTTTAGTCCGAGTCTATAAGTCTCTAAGAGACCGGTTTGCGACTAATTTCTGCAATTTAAAAGCTGGAGTATCTACCAGAAAGCACACGGGAAACGTTGGGAGACCCACCAAGGAGCCGAACCCCTCAGCTGTGTTATCCAGCGGCAGAATATCGGCGAAACACAAGTCGTGGCTTTTAGCTAGTACCTGTTCGATCAGGTGTGGTATATGGATATACTACTGGCAACGATTATTCTGCTGTGGCCCAGATATTCATATCAAATTTCAGTCTGAGTCCACAAATCTCGAAAAGGCTGATGTATTTCCGATTAGAGATTAGTTTCTGAGGAACTCAAAAAGACTGCATGCTTACAATTTCAATTAATTTGATGTCACACAAGATGATGATCCAGGCCTTCTAAAGTGCACTTTTCTCTAACAGACATTGTTCGAAGGTGTTAACCGTCACTCAGTCAGCAGCAGCGGGGAGAACTGCTGCTTTATGTCGGTGATGCATCTACGGGAAAGATAGTTTCGAGCCCACCCGCATATGGATGTTGTTCATGGGCAGCAATTGTAGTTTCGAAGGCACAAGAAGTTGTAGTGCGGCATGCGGAACTACTCAAATATAACAAGTAGGAAAAATATAAGCATACATTTCAGGCGGACAGGTACACTTCGGTCGCACATTTCGGAGGCCTACTGCAAAATGGCGGTTGGTCATAAGGGACGACGTTCATCGGATATCCCACAGAGTCAGTGCAGCACTGATGACTCGAGCGCGAATTAGTTCATAGTGCAGAGAACCTGAGCAGCGTTCACATCACTCCATCCTCCCTCATCCTCCTAGCTCCCATGGCGAGACGGCTTCATGACGACCGGAAGTGAACTCGAACAGGGTGGCCGGAAAATCCAATCAAAAAAACCACTGTTTGACTCTCAACTTTCAAAGGACTGCCTTTTTCAATCGAAGACATATCTGAAAGCTATTTTCCAGCATTAATTTTAAAGGTTTGGACCTCACACACGACCCATTGTCCCCAGGAGTTAAACAACAGAGTTTAAGGACTTTAATTAAAGAGATTTGAGGACCTTGCAGATCATCTTTTATTCTATCTACGGTGATTTTGCAGGACGACTACCTTAGACTGTGAATAACAAGGCACTGCGAGCATTATGGCCAATCGTTCACCTTCAAGCAATATTTCCCCGGGGTGAATTTGAAACAAGCATAGACAGCAGAATCTATTAGAACCAACAAATTTCGCGGCGGCTTATCAACTGCAGCCTGTCGTTGCATAACAGAGACAAGGAAAGAGAAAGATGCAGAGATTTGAACTTCCACCGAGAAAATCAATACAAAACAGCAAGGTATTGTTTACTGCACACAAAATAATCAATAAAAGGGGAACTTAAAACCGCCTAGGAAAAAAGATGGCAAAGTTAGCACTCAGGGGGGTCGTACAAATCGAAAGGCTGAGATTTACCACGGCAAGCTGAGGTTTACCATGTGGTCTAACAGTTTGCATAGGTCGGGTTTTTCCCGCTTTATGGAGGCTGCCTCCAGTTAGCGCAATATCCGGGTTGTTCGCACCTGAACTAGTACTCGGAAGGATGTTTTGGGGTCAACGGAGTGACCGATATCTAGGAGCTGCTTTGTGATAGGGAAACGGAAAATTTTACTTTCATTCTTTGAATCTATTTAGACAGGTGCTCAACTGACCTGGCTACCAACTGCCTTTGCGTTCGTCCAATGTATTTGCATCCACAAGTGCATGTGAATTCGTAAGCACAATTTAAGGTGGCGTGCAATGGCAAGGCATCCTTTGCCCGATGGAATTGTGATAGCTTTAATGGGACTGCTGAATCTGAGTTCGGCTGCGTTGTATGTCCTTTCA